AGAAAATCAATAAAAATGAGCAAAAATATACTAACTTTGGTAGTTTAAAAAGTAATAAAAAACCGTAAAAAAAATGATGAAAGGTAGACGATTTGAAAAGTTCAACCGGACCCAACCAGTAACCGCCCTCTCCAGTACCGGTTTCAAGATGGACTTATAGAGGATTATAATCTATGTACTTGTTGAGATGACATACATATGAGATTCTGTTGTCTTCACTGACACATTCACTGTTGGAATGTTTTATGAAATTAAATAATGTCGATGTGACAAGACATCCTTTTAAAGTTGGTGGAATCTTACAGAGATATACTGTTTGACGCTCAAATTGATTCCAAAATAGTTTGAACTCATTATGTAATTGCATTTATTTTACTGAACATTGGTATACATAGATAGAATAGTTATTGTCAATGAGAATGGATTGATTTTAAAACGGGTGGGTATATACTGCTATGAAATCAACATGTTGTCCTATTGTATATAGTCGAAATCTAGCTGACGAAGTCTTGATCGAAAAAAGTCACAAATACTATTCAAAACAATTCAAAAAATAATCTATTCAATTCATAAGGTGAATTGATTTGAATTGAATTCAAAGAAGTTTTCAAAATCTATAAATTCAATTCAACTCAAAAATCAAACTTCTTATAATTTTTATGAAACGATGAATTTACGAAATTCAACCTCAGAAAAAATAAAGTGATCTGCTTTTTGCTATAATATTTTGTTAGATTCTTATTTAGAAATGTCTGAATCATGCTTGTGTCCGTATATTTTGCTTCTTTATTCGGATAATGCTATCAGCGATTTAGTTTCACCCGCCTACATACTGTGTACATCTAGTTTATGTTCGCATATCATTAATGAACTCGTATACATTTCTATCTATATAGGTTATGGGTATACAATGATCATTTTCTTTACACATATCGATTAGCCCAACATCATATACTGAACTTTTCGAGATCACAGCTGTATCAATCAATTCTAAATCGGTCAGGTCACCTAAATTCAATTCAATTCATGAGTTCAATTGAATCGAATTGAGAAAACATTTTTGAGAATCGATAAGTTGAATTATACTGACTTGTAACAATCTATGAATTTATTTCAATTGAATCGCGAAATACTTCGTCAGTTCTATGAATTGAATGATATTCGATTGAAGAATTATTTGTCAGCATTTCATCAGTTGAAAGGAGATGAATTGAGGTGCCTAGTTGTGCGTTATACATACGTCTTAGATGATGAAGATACTGTGACTTTTCTATTCATTCAAATGAAAAGAAAGTAGAAATTACTAATAAATTCTACAGTGACCGTCTTTAGGTATTAGTCTGGAATTTGTTATCAAAAGCTATTCGTACCACAAAGTGATAGTCTTCTTCTTGCTGTTTAATATGCTCTACAATACCCACGAATATTGAAGGATGTGAGTGAAGAGAAGATCAACGTCCACACCACACCCACACCAACACTCACATACATTCGCTACGTTTCTTATTGATCGCATCAGAATAAAACATAATTAACTCTCGATTCAATTGATGCAATATTATTAGAAGCGTAACTTGAATAGTAGATGAAAATGTTTCCAATAGATAATGTAAAATATCGTTGAAAATAAACGAATGAATATAGAACTTTAATAAAGAAAATTTAAGAAAAGGTTTCTTTGTTCCAGTTCTAGACCTATCCATTTCATATTTTATTCTGACTGTAGAATTATTTAATTACGATGTAAACTGTCATAATGAATATTCACTTGCGTAGTTCCAGTAATCGATGTTTTCTTGTTTATTGTTCAGACATATCGAAATATGTTAAATACATGAAACGAGCTCCATCACATAAATATCATTGTCAATATTGTATTTCACCCAATGAAAACAATTTAACGTGTCATTCATCGACTTGAACGATATCGGATTATTCAAATAATATTCATTGTCTATTCTGATAGAAGTAAAAATAATCATCTGTCACCAATAATCAATAATCTTCAAATCTTTCGAACTTCAAAATCAATTTTTGAACTTTTAAAAAAGATATGGAAGAAGTCGAAAGAGAATATTTGAGTGATGGTATATTTACAATTTTCTATCTAAAGAAAAAGTAGTACTTCAACAAGGTTACTCAGAAAGTTATTTATGTCATATATTTAGTTCTATTGATGCGAACGTCTTAGGACTCTGTTCAGGTCAAATATGAGATGCTAAGTAAATGTCGAGTTTACTATAGAAATGATACTGTTCATTTGTTTCAAGTCGATGAATTTGAAACGCAACTAGCAATCAAAACATGTCATTCGTTAGTATACGAAACTTGGATTCTTAATTTATCTTGTTAATAAAACTTTGCCTAGAAAAGATATTTGAGCTCTATATAGATTTCATTATTCTATTATTAATTTATGGTGTCTTTCGGAAGCAGCTTCAGATTCACATTCTTGGTTGTGGAACAAAACTCAATCGAGAAGAATTCGAAAATTTCCAAGCTGGTTTTCGTATATCAACTGAGAGATTTTTTCATGTTCATCTGATCTTAATGCATCGAAAGAATTATTAGTATTGATTCAATCACTGATAGATTGTCACATCGTATTCGAAATGCATAGCAACAGTTCGTATTATTTATCATTGATGTCAATTGTAGAACATTTTTGAATAGATTTTTAGCAAATGTCAGTCATCAAAGCGATATATTAGATGAAAGCAAAATCATTTTTAATTTCGAATCGAATTTCATCATCTCCAAGGCATCAGAGTGTTGGTGTGGGTATCAGCGTTAAAAACACTAACACCCACAATCGTCTTACCTACACCCTAAAAGTTAGATACGGACAATTGAAAACTATAACAATGGACTTTACAAGAGATGCAATGCGACATAATTGTTTAATCCTTTGATGCTGAGGTCCGTATATATACGGGCTGAACTTTTACTCATATAACTGTCGTTATAATCCCATTTAGACTGGATCCAAAAGTCTTCTCTTTCTTTCTCTTATCTCGCTGGCATTATTGCGTCATCGTTCTGCAGTGCTATTTGTATATTCATACTTTTTATATAACAATAAAGTTTATTTTAAACATTTTTGAAAGAAAAGAAAATTTTCATGTGAAAAAATTCCCGACGCCAAAGGGTTAAGAGTGAAATGCTTAACTTTTGTCGAAAAAGATTTATCAATATTTTCCTTTGTTATAATAATCCATTGATATGTGTTAAATACTCTACACTAAATACTTTTCATTTATGGTCTAGCAAAAATTTATTGTCGATACATAGACAGATAATGAGATATCAAACGGATATCCAATTGTTTTGTTCATACAACCTTTAATTGCTACAGAAGAGTATAATTAAGAATAATAGTTTAATTGATTTTTATTCGATCAAATGTGTCTTTGAATGGTTTCTTCGACGAAAATCGATAAATTAAAATTAATGGAAATAATTGATAATAACCATAACCTAATGTAAATAATAATAAATTCTTTGTTTTTTCTTTACCAAATAAAGCTTGATAGAAAAAATAATTTAAATCAAAAAATAATATCAACGAAAATAGAATTATTGGTATACGAATCCATTGGCGTTTATGATAAATAGCATAGATAGCAATTAAATAGAATGGTGCAAATAGAAATGGTGACAGACAAGTTAAATATTTAACAAGAAAATCATTGTGCAGTAATATTGTGTCAACATTTTCACACCACCAATAAAATAATTTGAAAACAAATTGTGGTGGCCAGAGCCATTTTGATGTATTTTCATCTCGGATTTCTTCATGAACTGAAGCAACAGAATTAATATAATCGATAGTAATGGCAAAAATAAAAAATGTAATAAAGGTACCAATTATTATTTTGTCAATAGATCGCATTGATAAATTAAAAAAAAATAGGAGTATGCCCTCGAATTCTTTTTAAAATTTGTACGATCTACTACCAATCTAGAAATAAGAATCATAAATGTTACACATGTTTTCACTATGAAAAACATTGTATGCTGTTGATAGACATGATGATCACACTATCATCTTGTCATGTTATAGATAAAAAAAAGAACTGCTCTCTTTCTTCATATTGATAAGGAATCAAATAAAACTTTACTTTCACTTCGCAGAAGCGAATAAAAAACACTCATTTTATTTATGATACGGGCAGATTTTTATTTATTTGATAGTCAATCTATACCGTATATATATATATTCACTGTATCATGTAGCTCTTTCCTGAGTTTAATTTCTTACATTGGTATTCATCTATTTATGAAATACAAATCACAATAACAATCATGGAATCATTACATCTAATAGTATCTCATAATGTTATGAATTTTTCATTCATTCACATCTCATTCTAAATACCGAGGTTTGCTTTGGAGGCAGTTTTAGTAAAAACAAAAACTTTTCCATGGATCAATGGATTTTATTCCTTTAGGTATCTACATATAAATGAAATGATAACTTTGTACAACGAAAATTTTAGTAACAGGTATGTATGTCGACTCAACATTCATCAATAATTGATAACATATCGAACTTATTTTCGACATGAAAGTCGAACTGATGTTTCAACTACAATCAATTTTGAAAAAATGTGATGAAATCGACAAAGATTAAACGAACTTTATGTGCTTCATATATTACAGCCTTTTCTTTCGATTTAAAAACCACAATAATTGCACTTATGAAGATATATATCACTTTTATCGAGTATGATTTCGTTTTTCTTCTCTCTCTTGCATGCTACTCAAAAGCATGAGAGTGATTTTTTCTTTGCCAACCTTATAGAGTTTGACGAAAAATGCTGGGTGCCGGTCTAAGTGTCTCAGAAGGAGATACGAGTATCAGTTTGGATTGGTGTTGGTCTTTTCTCTTCACTGATGCTCAAACCCACACCATTACCATACATCAACAGAAGAAAATTTATTTCCAAAGGAAAAATAATATTAATCAATAATCATAAAACCAATGACTTTCATGCCAATTATGCGATAATCAATGCATATAAATGTTCGTCAATATCTTGTCCATTTTTGTATGCATGTTTACGTAATACTCCTTCAAGTACGAAACCGCATTTTTCTGCAACACGCATTGAAGCTTTATTCCATGGAAATATCTTTGCTTCAATTCGAACTAAATTTTTCCATTCGATTTTTATTATTTCAATTGCTTTGTTTACAGCTTTAGACATCAAACCACGATGCCAATATGGTTCACCTAACCAATATCCGATTTCTGTTCTCCTTTCATTTCCAATTGAACGATGAAGACCACATTCACCTATCAATTCATCATTTGCCCGCAAACGAATAGTAAAAATATGTGTTAAATTTAATGAGTCTGATTTTATCTTTTGAATAAAATCTTCGCCATCTTTTGTTGTATATGGATATGGTATTGTTATTGAATTAGCTTCTATTATTGGATTGTTAAGATATTTAACAAATGAAGGAATATCTTCATTTGTTAATAGATCGGTTATATATATTTCATCATCAATATCATAACGATTTGATACCATTGTATTCTAAAAAAGAAGAACAATGAAGTAAGAAAAACGTTTCTTTATTTGCTCGATTACGTCAAGTTATCATTAATAAGTCTACTTAAATATATATGATACCAAAAGAAAAAGAACAAAATGATGAAATGTTACACAAGTCATTTTTACGTATTCTCGTTATTAAATGGTGGCTATTAATTTCACTGTAGAAAACAGATGCATCGGCTTTAATAGATTTAAATTCATTTTTAAATGAATTAGCTGTTTCCTGATAACGTGTTCTTTTACGTTTACAAGCATTTTCATTAGTATCATATAAATGATTATTTTCTGTTGTTCAATTAGTACACATAGTTCTAACTAATTTGTTTATTTCGTAATGATCAACAAAAATTGCTTGTATTTCTTTACATAACGCCATCTTTATTGTACTTCTACTACCATCAACATGTTGTCCTTGAATATCGCCTTCGTAAATCATATACTATTTAAATATTGTTAGTGTATATTATTGGTTTTCTGTCCTTGTTTTTCAACACAATTTTAAGTCGACATCACCGCATCATCATATATATCGACAGTAGCCTTTCCTTCATTATCTTCTAAACCATTAATATGAATCTAGTAGAAATGTCTGTCGATGACATTCATAAGTTCCTATTCGATGAACATTTAGTTCTTGTAAGCTGTAACACTCGTGGGTGTGTGGGTGTGGGTGTTGGAGACGAGAAGACACCCACACCCACACCCCACACCTTCGCTAGGCATAATTGAGAAAGTTCAATTTCTCGATCTTAGTCATCTTGAAATTAAGCTCGCAACGTCAGATAACCTCGGAGACTATGACGGACCGTGACAAACAGACAAGTATGTATGTCTGTCTGTCCGTCTCGGTCTACGAGGAGAAAGGAGAGGAGAGTAACACTTTTCGTTTAATATTCAACATTCATCACTAATTATACTAATAATATGAATATTAGTATCCGTGTGTCATGGTCTGTGGGAGTTTCACTTTTCGCACTTTATACTTGACACTCTGTTTTGATCGCGTTGCACAAAAGCAGTATACATCTAAATGAAGAATGATAATGAAACTATTTTTATTTCAGTTTAAGTCGATTTCGTAGTAATTTCTGTAAAGAAAATCACTGTTTTGTTTTTCTTTCCCTAATAAAAGACCACTTTTTCGGCACTTAGAAAATTGATAGAAAGAAACTTAAGAAATCATATTTAAAAGCTCTATAATACATGATTGGATGTGTCTTCATCTTTTCTTTCCAATTGTGAAAACTGCAGTTCTCAAAATTGTGTCTGTCAAAAGTTATTCACGTGTCTTTTTTCTATAATGAGCATTAATGTTACCGTTATATATGATAACAAACAGTTCTTTGTCGAAACTTTATTATTATTATATAAAATAAAACATGATGAAACATCACAGAAAAATAAAGCATTGTTATTACTATCACCACATATACAGAAAAAGTTTCCTAAAGCTTTCTATACGGAACTAAAATACCGTCACCATTACTTTTGGCAGGATCTAAGTAGCAACACCATTGATACATTTTGAAAATGCAAAATAAGAAGAAAAGAAAAAAAAATTAAAAGAACAAATGCTCTACGCTTGAATTGTTCTGGACTTCAAATTATTTTGCATGAAATCAGACCAGCAAAAATGATTCTAAGTTATTACATTTTAGAAGCTCAAGAAACTTGTTCTATGCTACCACTATTTCCTGTCTTTAACTGAGGGACGGGCAAAGCTTCTCTACTTAGCCAGAGTAAACAGAAGACATATTTTTCTTTTGAGTTTTTCTCAGAAACCATGTAGAATTATCAAAATATCAGAATTTTATTTTTAAACAGAAGAGACCACCATTTCTAGAAGAGAAATGTTCGAAAAATAAACAGAATTGACGTCTACAAAGCGCTTCTAATGAGACATAGATATACTATTTTACTAAATAGAGCTCTATTTCTTTCTTATCTATCTCGGTAGATCGAATTCAACTTTTCAGGAGACAATACAAAGATTTCTTATACACCGTACCATTTTGTGCATTATAGTAGCGTCAGTTATAAATATTCTTATACGCTAAAATTCGAAATCAGATTTTCAATACCATGAATGCCTCATTGAGATATTAACGAAGCGTCTCTTGAGAATGTGGGGTGTGGGTACGGGTGTGGCTGTCGCTGTGGATATAGCGGTGGCTGTGGGTGTGTGTCGTTGTCCATCTTCTTTCGTTAATATCCACACCCACACTCTTCTGAATCAATATGTAGCACTAAGTGGATTTATGCGAATTTCAAATCTTGTCATCGACTATTTTCGTCTAAAAATCACTCAGTCTTCTTCAGAATTAGGTTTAAAGAAATGAATTGTATCGAAAAGTAGTTTTACTATAAATGATGATTGAGTCATATCATCAGAAAAAAGCGTGTCATGCACAGCTGTCAAGATAAACTTTAGTGCTGTTCTCATGCAAATATTACAACATTTTAATTCGATCATAAAGTATAATAAAACTGATCTTTCTCTATCTTCAACTATCATTGTGTACACAAGTGACGTTAGTCGCTGATTTGCGTAATATCAGTGCTGTTTCTTTTAGAAACTTACTCCCAAGTTCTTGTTCTTGTTTCAAGTGCCACTCGACTAGGTCTATCCAACGACTAAATCAGATATTCGATGGTTCCAACTATACTCCCAAAAATTTCAATATATCGATGATTTACTATAGAACATTTGAGATTACGATAATAAATGTGGTTGCCATTCATTTCAAAACTTTTATTAGCAAACATAATTTTAGGCAATATCTTTAACAGTTAACTCGTGATGTCTGTTTTTCCAGAAAAATAATCTAGCTGAGTTGAAATTTCAATATTACAGCGTTGAAGTTTATCAAAGTACTTTTATCATAGTTATTTTGGCAGACTAAGATCTAGATTCCTTGGAACTGTAATATATTAACTTATCAGTAATTCTTTTTTCGAACTGCATTGACAAGACAAGAAACTATAACAATAAACACACTTATAGCGGGATGAAGATCCTAAGTACATTATAATCGACCTAATGCTACACAAAAATCATGAGAATGTGGATAACGTTCAATCTCCTGACAAATTTATTTTCCCAAATAATCATTAAATAGAAGTTCACATTTCACTTAAATAAGCTTGTCTCATTTGACGTAATTTTGCGATGAGTTTTTCGATGCCTTTGACTGTTTTTCCATTTTCGAATGTCACACGTTTACTTCCATTTGCCCAGATGATTTGCACCCATTCTGCGCCACCATCTGCGCAATCAGGACATCCAATTCTGTCATCTAATGATTGAAAGATTTCTATATTTACGAGATTGACAAGGCTGACCAATTCACTCGAAGTTAATGGAACTGTTGCATAAACTGGAGGATAACTCGCTTGATTAAAGTTTGCCTTTTTTGAAATACTTACTTGAGGTGGAGTGGATGTCACAGTTATCGATTTACGACAATATCCAATACATTCTCCAAATGAAGTTCCACTCGAAATTGATAGTACATTGCTCTTTACACTTTCGCCATTCACTACTAATACCAAAAGTGCGAGAACAAAGATAAGCCAACCAACAGATTGCATTGTGTATCAAGCTTTTTATACCTAACAAGTAATCAATTTTGAAGAAACAAATGAATATATATATTTTTTTCATCACTGATAATGGTAACAGAAAAGTGAAGAAAAAAAATCGAAGCCTTCCACATGAAAAATAACATCTGTGTATATTTGCACACCCTTCAAGGACAAAATGAATTAAAAGAAAGCGATATTTAATGTCATAATACTCGTTTAATACATTATTTTCTTTTCATATATTTAATTATGTCTTTGGTATTAAATAAATTGTTGATTCATATGTATTTACACATCGAAACAATGGATAAAAATGAAAAAAGTGACGATTTGATCACTGTTCGTTTCGCAAAATTGGAATCAAATAAAACTTATATACTAATGAACACGTGTTCCTGTAGGTTCATGCTGACTTTTAAAACTTTGAAACTTGACTTCTCAAATTTTAGCCACTGAGGTGCTCCTTCTTCGATAGATCAAAAATAGTTTTTGTATTTAATTCAAATGGTTCATTTCTGGTCGCAGAGAGCTCATTGTCCTGATCACAAATATCATATTTTTATTAAAGCCGGACTGCATAAGAAGAAAAATATTAGGACTTTTTAACCAAAACTTCATGTTGACGGTCAAACAAATGATTAAACCTGTTCGTCTGTCTCTAATGTTTTTACTCTATATAAGTTGTTTACATACGCATATATGAGTATATTGTGAGAAAGGTGAATATTGTAAAAAAAGGAAATAGTATAGTAAGTCTCGAAAATACTCATAAAAATATTATTGAAGCACATCAAAGATAGCACCAAAATGTTCGCTATGTTGAAATCATCGATCTATTTAGTTTTCAGGACGACATACTGAGAAAAATCAGTAGATCGATTTGTGGTGCAATATGTTTCCTTCTTTCATAAAATTATTTTAACCTATGTTTTTCAATAATGCACTCTCTTAATATTGATGTCAGTTGAGTACGATAAATTTTGGATAATAGCTTGGATGTTACTCTGAAATACATACTTTCTATGTTTGTCCAACTTTGTATATTCGGAACACACAAAATAGATCAAACTGAAGTGTTAACGTATGAAATCACTCAAGAATGTTTGTAATGCAAGTATTTTATTGAAAACAACTAAAAAACAAATACAACTTTTAGAAAATATTTTTCTTTTGTATAGATGTAACTGAATATCTCGAATAAATATAAAAGGATTAATGAAGTGCAACTTTAGAAAATTCTAAACAGTTTTCTATCACTCATTAACTATCATGCATCGAGAGGAATAATTGTTCTCTATCAAACATACAGTATTTTCCTGAGTGAGGAATCTGAAAAATAATTCTTCGTGGATCATCAGCATTCAATTGGTAGTCAACCAAACGACTATTAATTCTTCCAGTTGCAGGATCACGTCGAATATAGAGCGCTACCATATGATTCATCTGTGATGATACCTGATATGCAAACGGAAGAGCTCCAATTCTCTCACCGATGTTAGCACGATTCAGAAATGATTCTAAGTCTCCTATATTGTCAAAGGAATAGAATCGATGAATCGGTAAACGAGCTGCTCGATAGAGAGTATAAATTTGTCCTAGATTAGTACCGTTTTGTTCTTGCATAATTTCGGCTCTTATTACAAGATCATTCATATTTGTATCCAAAATGTCAGTCAGAGTTGTAAACCGAATGTATTAATTTCACGATGTAAATCAACTGTTCGACCAGGGATACGGTTGTCGTTATTGTTCCGAGGTAGATTGCTATTATCACTGTCAAAACGTTGAGAAAACATTTGTTGATCAGGATTACAAAAGATCATTACAAAATCGATTTGCTTTGAGGCATTCCCACCCATTTCTCTGTGTACAGATTTTGACGTTTTTTTAGTACGTGTCAAAAAAACAGTAGTGTAATAATTGAAACTTGAATTCAATTATTACATTACTAATCCGTACCAAAATTTTTGTATCTATTCATCATTTCTATCCAAAAACAAGATTCAAATCAATAAATTACATTCTTCGATATCTAAAGAGATTCTAGATTCTGACTCTGATAATGGTTTATAATATAAGTAACTTTTTTCGCTACAACATTTTCTCTTCTCAAATAATTAACTGATTTGATTTACTTCTCAATACAAAAGGAAAAGTTAATAATAAAAATCTTTTTTAACATGTACAACAATAAGGGATAGAAAAAATTTCAGAATGTAGTAGGGTGTGGGTGTGGGTGCCACGAAATGAGTGGTCGCGAAAGAACTCGTCCCGAAAGGATTGAGATTTGAAACTTGAAAACTCAATTGAATTCAAGTTTGACACTACTGTGTTATTTCGGTGTGTGCTTTTCCAAAAGATGTACCACGCGCTTTGTCACAAAACCATTGAATATGTAGTACAACAGGCTTTCGACAATAAGAATATTGTCAAAATTATAGTATCGTCGATTTACTCGTTTCATTCCACTGTGACTCATAGATGAACCAGAACTTTGCTAATCTTTTTTTGTTGACGATATATACCGGTGAAAATAGGCAAAAATGTTGAAATTCAAGTGGCAAGAGTCGTCACAACTGGATATGCGAGATATAAAGGTAAAAGCAAGAAAAAATATTCGGAAAGTACTAAAAATATTTATTACTAACAAATTTCGAGTATAAAATTGAGTTTTGAAGTTTTATTGCGTCTTTATGCTTCTAAATAGTGCCTATATTTAATAATAAGTTTGGCATCTGTAACGACATAAACTATACATAGTAAAACATGAGTTAATAGTTAACTAGCTCAGTGCGAAGTTGGTGAATAGATATTTACATTGGATCAAATATATAATATTTGCTATGATTACAATTTCAAACAATGTGTCAAATTTGTGATAATGATATCAATTATACACTCAGATTTTGAATGAGAACTTATCTTAAAAATTATTTTCTGTGCATAGAGATAAAATCCGTGAGTCGACAACTCATCATCATTCACTTGCTTTTCGTTTACCATAAAACAATTCGCTGTCTACTTTTATGTTAATAACAGTTGTCTTGTTTCTTTTTTTTCGTTGCTTAATCTTTTATACTTATTCTTATCATCTCTATCAACTTATGCCCTATAAGAAACAAACATATATAAACATATGAGATAGTTTGTGTCGATAGAAATGTATGCAACTGATAAAATATTTTTTTTAAACAATTACCCCGATGTAGTATTAATTGTTAATTCTTCAGTTTTAGACAGGTATAACTTTACATATGTGGAAATTTTGCTTAAGACAAATACAGCCAAAATTTCTGAAACAGAAGATGATTTCTAAGTACTCCTTAATACGTTTAATATCTGCTTTACCTACGATAACACCAACACCACCACTTACTGTTCCTGTCACAAATTCTATTTCACTTACGATGGCTGATATTAATTCTTATCGTGAAATTGGTTATCATGTTATACCTAATCTTCTTTCTCCTTCTCAGCTTGAACAATGGCGGACGATCGTATTTAGTGCAGTAAAAGATCGAGCCGAGAAAAAGTATAAATTTTCTACAGTGAATGAAGAAGATCATACAAATATTGATTTCGATTATTATGATAATGTCTTTACTCAACGTGTTAGTCTATGGCAAACACATAATTCTGTTAAAGAACTTTTATTAGAGAGTGGTGGAGTTATTGGAAAAATTGCTGCTGAATTAGAAGGTATTGATTGTGTTAGAATTTGGTGTGATCAAGCCTTAATTAAAGAACCATTTGCAAATCCTACTGCCTGGTAAAATTGGAATGTGTTTCGTTTTCTTTTGTATTCACCTCTTTTCTCTATATGAAGGCATCTTGATATTCCATATTGGTCGTTCACCTCTCTACATGCAATAAGTGTTTGGATAGCATTGGACGATGCAACATTAGAAAATGGTTGTATGTATTTTATGCCGGGTTCACATAAAGTAAGACTATCTGACGGATGAAAAAAAAATTTTAAAATTTCATTAGTTGATTATGTGCTTTACGAAAAACCATAAAAATTTTATCTGTAAATACAAGAATTCAATTACGTTTCTTTTTATCTATTGTTTTTCTTCGGTTTTGTTCAAGTTAAGTGTTTCTTAGAAATTGAATACTGTTCAATTTTGAAAACTATATTTTCTTTCAAAAGTTAGAACTCTATTTTCATGTTCAAATTTGTATTAGTTTATGAAGATCTTAAAATCAGATCTTTTTAGGTTACAGAACGTCGTTATTATGCAGAGAATAATACTTTTACGGAAATAAAGATTGGTAAAAATCTTTCTGATATATTTAATGCTTATCCCGAGCTAAAGACATGGCAAACAGTAGCTGTACCTATGAAAGCAGGAAGTGCTTCGTTTCATAGCGGTCTTTTGATTCATGGTGCCGGTGCCAATATGACACCCGGAAGACGAGCTGCAATGACTATTCAGATGTGAGCAAGTTTGTGGGAAAACAAATCGATACACTTATAGTATTTTAATGATGCTTATTTATTTAGGATGCCTGATAATATGGTTTTTAATGGTAAACAAAATATTTTAACAAAAAAACAAATGAATGAATTACAAATAGGTGTATCTGTTTTTAATGATGATAATCTTAATCCAATATTATACAAAAAACCTTGTTAGCGCAGCTCCTTTGGAGCTGAAACGTGGAACTCACGTATACCCTTCAACCGTGTTATCCTAATACATCACCTGTAAACTGAAAAATTTCTTGTCGAATATGGCTGTTTGCACTAATAATCGATGACAAGAGCGAGAGTTTATTATTTATTTCTACATTTGAAACAGAAAAGTGTTTTTTTTTTTCGTTCGAGAGTACCCCATTTTATTTATAATTGTTGCTATATTCTCGATAATAGTCATTCTTTTTTAATTTGAAATTATTATTGTTTTTCACCATCTACTATTTCATAAATAAGACTATTACAATAATGTAGTTTATATGCGTCAGCAGCTCTTACTACACTACTATATATCCCAATCAATCCA